TCTGGGTAGTCCTCTTGGATATCATCTCTATCACATGAGCCTCACACACACTGGCGTTCACTGAGGTCCCGCCACCCCTGAACTCGATCACGTGATGACAGGCATGGAGGGAAACTGGTGACCCTGGGAAGCGGAAGCTCTGTGGAGGACTAAAGACCTCACTTTATCGGCAAGGGCATGAGAAACCCCAACAGGAAGGTGCAGTAAGTTGACCTTGTGGTTGCCACACCACATGCGCTCTCTCTCTCTCTCTCTCTCTCTCTCTCTCACACACACACACACACACACACACACACACACACGAGTGTGAGCCATCTCTTATTTGTTTTTTGAAAAGGGCTGGCTGTGTAGCCAGAGCTCAACTCTACCTTGTGATTCTCAGTGCTAAGATTACAGATGTGACACCATGTCCAGTTCTGCCTAACGCACACACAGACACACACACACAGAGAACGCACACACGCATACATGCACGCACGCACGCACGCACGCAGGCATACATGCACACTCACGTGCTCATGCAGGCACATACATACATGTATGCATGCGAAGGCTAGTGCACACACACATGTGCATAGAGAGAGAGGAGATAGAGAGAGAGAGATAGATAGAGAGAGAGAGAGAGAGAGAGAGAGAGAGAGCTTTCGAGAGCTCTCATAGTTGCAGGACTCTCAGCAGAGACACACAACACCCAGCCTGCTCCATCTCGGGGCACTCGCTGGGAAGTTTCCTCTGAGGCAGGGAGCCTTTTCACAGGGTACACATTCAATTTAAACCCCTTGTTGTCCTTGGACACCCCTGAGGAAGAGGACCCAGGATCTGTGGGTGCCGCTAGTATTAGTGCCAACTGCAGAACACTGAACACCAACCATCCAAGGAGCCCAAGGCTTCGAGTCTTCAACTCACAGACGCCAGCCTGTGGACTCTCCCCCTCCTCCCATGCCCTGTCGTGCAGGAAGAACTAGTTTTGGAGGTGGCTAGGAGGAGGTGTGCTTCCTGAGAGATGCGGATCCTAGTGCCTTGAGCCGCACAAGACAGAATGCATGGAGGGCGGTCCTGCCTGGGGAAGCTGCCCAGTGCTCACTGCCCAGTGCTCACTGCCCAGGCACCTCACTCTCACCCCAAATGCCTGCCAGCTGGCTGTGTGACCCCATCCGTCAGACAGAAGAGCCACTTCGGGGAGACAGCCCTCCGAGAACGTCACTGCTCCCTTTGTGGCGGCACTTAAGCGTGGTTGGAGAATATTTCAGCGTTGGATACGAGGGAAGACTATGGTGCATATCACGTGTGAGGTGTGGCCAGCGTATCATACAGGAAAATGGCCCTTGATTTTAGAGATGCATTTGGAACCAGGGTTAATGGCCAACATTCCTCTAATTGACTTAAACATGCTTTAGCCAAGACAAACAAGTGATGTAAAAATTAAACATTGAAGTTACCCGATGTCAAATCTAGGGGATATTTGCATGTTCAACATATTGTCCTTTCACGAAGGTTTTTATTTTCTTTTACGTGTACGCGCGTGTATCTTAGCATCTGTATGTCCATCACATGCCTGCACAAGGAGTTCACAGGTATTGGACGCCCTGGGGCTGGGACTTTGGGCGGCTGTGAGGGCGCTCTGCAGAGCAGTGTGCTGCTCTTAGCCACCGGGCCACTTCTCCGGCCCCTTGCTCGGCTCTGCTTACTCGTTTGTTCATTTGAGACAAGTTCTCACCCAGGGAACCAGTGCTGGAATTGCAGGCACGAGCCACCACTCACAGCCTTATCATCATATTCTTTCTGCTGGCTTATGTTTGAAACGTCTTTTCAGTAGGAGGAAAAGAACCCTATCCGTGTGGTGGAGAGGTTAAACTTTTCCTCAGAAGCACGGCTGAGAAGCAGGAGAGAAGTTTTTATGCATTGCGGCTCTCCTGCACACAGTGTTGGGAATCCAAACGGGAGGGCAGGGTGGGAGAGGCTGAGAAAAGGCCACAGCTCCCGCTAGGCCCCAGCCTCCAACCCTCACCTGCGCCCAAGCAGCCATGGCGAAGGGGTTGGTAATGGCAGAACAGTGTAGAGGCCCTGCCCTGGCATAACAACACAGATCGGAATGCCATCGAGGCTTCCCTCACTGTGACATGTCCCGCCAACTACTGTCCAGCCTCCTGTGAGAGGCCTTGTCACCTCGTAAAGATACTCATGAGAACACCCCACCCACTCCATGGATCTTGCCTGCCCTGGCTGGATAAAGGTCCAAGTTCAAGGAGCAGAAACGACCTGTCACACGGGCCACATGCCTTCACTACCCTTTCCCTCTTCAGGGTTCACACAGGGCTGTCTGGACGCCCAGCCCTGCCTCATTTGGGACCTGGGGTTCAGAGAAGAATGTGGGGCTATTTCCAGCCCTGCCCTGCCTTCCCAATTCTCCTTCACACTGGGCCCAGGGTTCTCTTGTCCCTTCAGAGGTGAGGAAACCAGGTTCTTCTGTGGAGACTAGAGTTGTTTCCCAAGCCACCTAGCCATGGCTGTGGGTCTAAGACTCCTGTCCTAAGCTGTGACCCCCCAACGCAAGCCTTGGAGGAGGCTAAGCCTCCAGAGTCCAGGACGGGGAGGCACGAGCCTCTAGAGACTTCTGTCTTTCACGGAGGCCCTTGGGAGTCCCGAGCAGGCTTAACTGAGGTTGTCTCTAGTCCAGAAGGTCGCCTGGCCTAGTAGCCCCCATATTTCCTAAAGTTCACAGTAAGTTCTGCTGAGGCCAGCAGCCTGGGCAGTAATGGGAGGACCCTGGAAAGGTTCATAGTAGTGGCCAGGAAGGATTCCTCCAGTGAGGTGTGACCAGTGAGGTGTGACCTTCAGAAGCAGGTGGCTTCCACCTGTCTGGGGACACTCCGAGGAGCCAGCCCTGCCCTTCCTTGCCCTTCCTTCGTCCCAGCCATCCAGGTTCTAATGCAGCCCGGGGACTGGGCTTCTCTCCACCCTTCTGGGGCCAGGCCAGCAAAGGCCGTTTTCATAGTTTGCAGATGAAGGCTGGCCAGTGTAGCCAAACTTCAGGCCATCACCCTGCTTCTTCCAAGGGGGTTTCCACGTCTGTCTGTCACAGCAGCTCTGTCCCTCAGTTCTAAGAGTCTGTGCCCCACACCCATTCAGGGTCAGCGGTTGTACTGTGCTCCCGCAGCGGAAACTCTTACAAGGGAGGACCTCAGACCGTCTCTAGTCTGAGTGTTCCCACCAGCCTGGCACTGGGCATCTGTCTGCTGCCCTGGGGAATGGGAGCTACAGGAGGCCTTGGGACATACTTCACTTCCTTCTCTGGGACACCGGAGGTTTTCTTTTCTTTTCCTTTTTTTTTTTTTTTTTTTTTTTTGGCTTCCCTGTTCAAAGATTTCCCTTCCCAGGCCAAGGCAGGGCCCCATAAACAGAGCGATAAGGCTCTGTGCCTTCCATGTGAACTCTGCAGCTGCCATTTTATGGCTCTGATAACATGTTCCCCCCCCCAAGTCCGGCTGGAGCAGGAACACTGGGTGTCCATTCCAGGAGGGAGCAAGTAGGGACAGCAAGACAAGATGCACATGGACCCTCCTCCAGGCCAGGGCGAGTCCCTTCCCCTTGTTTTGCGGGGCAGGCCCTGACCTGGACCAAGAGGACAGTGAGTGACTCCACGCTAGGGGCAGAACAGCTCAGGTGGGGAGGCTAGTGAACCGAAGGATGGGGTCAGAGAGGGAGATCAGAGCGTCAGGAACAGGACCCGGAAGTGGTGCTGACCGAGGAAGACCTGGGAAGACGGGAGGAAGGGATTGGAGGGGCTGGGCTCAAGCTATGTCCAGACCTGGAGACCTCCAGTCCTGCAAGCACCCCTGGCTTATCCAAAATGAACCGGAGTAGCTGGGAACCAGAGTTAGGAGAGCTGGAGAGTTGCTGTTGTGTGGCCTGAAGACTGTGACACTTAGGGACAGTGTTTGATGGAGCTTGGGGTGGAGGGGGCAACACCCGCCAGTTCTCAGAGGGCTGCACCTTCACCAGGCGATGAGCCTTCCCAGGTTAGGGTGTGCCCGACACCAGCTAGGTGGAAACAGATTCGCCGTCCCGATTCCTGCCCTGGTGCAGGTGATGATAAGAGAGGTAACCGTGGGAGAGAACCCACTAGGTGACCAAGATTCCCCGCCCTCCTCCAGGCAGTCTGCTGTTTCCAAACCAGAAGACACCTGGGAAAAAGACTGTCTTGAAGCAACAGACCCAGAGGCCAGTGGCAAAGGGAGGAAGACGAGGACAGGTGTGACTCATTTTGCCCTTCTGAAAAACGGGCATACGGAGTCTTGAGGTCTCCTTTACTCTCAGAGGAGGTGACCCAGGCGCATCTGAGCCACGGCCCTGGCGACCCATCCACACACAGCTACAGGATCACACCCACACGCATGCCTGTGAGCGAGGAAGAAGAGGCCCTGCTTTCCCCAGCACGTGCCAGTCCCGGCCACCAACCCTGACCTTTCTTTGCCCACCACCATCCTATAGTTAGAGGAGGCAGAACACAGCGGGACGCTGCTGGCACCCATAACATACCAACGACCCCTCCCCAGGCCACATGAACGCTGCATCTGCTGCTGGCGGGTCCTCATAGCCCACAAGCTCACAAAACGCCCAGCGACGCTTCCAGACCCTCACAGCCTCCTCCCCACCTCACAGTCTACCGGATCTCCCATCGCACCCGATCCTGCCACCCACAGCTCTCCTCCCGCGCACGCAACCGCACAGGCACTCCCCGCAAAGCAAGTCTGGGGCTCCCGCTCGCCCTCAACCTCTCCAACGCTGCCTGGGATCTCCTCGAGGTGAGCCCTCTAAGCTGTGTTGGGAGGGACCCGGTGCCATCGAGCTCCCACGCCTCTGGGCTGGATTCGGTCCCGGGTGGAGAGAGAAGATGAGAACCGCGCTCCTGCTGCTCCCCCGATGGCCAGATGGCCCCAAATCCTCCGCCCCCGCAGCTCCCTCATCCCGGGGATCCGGGTGGAGGGGCGCACACTCACCGCGGGTCCGAGGGCGCAGGCGAGGGCTCCTGCCAGTAGGTACAGCCAGCCGGCAGGCTGTGCGCTCGAAGGGCGCATGGTCCGCCCTGAGCGCGCCGCAGGCGGCCGCAGCGGCTGCGGGGTCTGCTGCTGGTGCAGCTCGGCAGAGAGGCGCGGGCCGGCGGCCCCCGCGCTAAGAGGCGCAGCTCCGGGCCCGGAGAGGGCGGCGGGGGCTCGTCTGACGGGCGGCGGGGTTACCCAATGGCGCGGCGGAGGCGGGGCCTCGGCGCAGGTAGGGGGCGGAGCCTGGGCGCCCGTGGGCGTGAGCGCGGAGTCCCGCTAGCGGTGTGCGTCTTCGTCGGCAGCCGCAGCGAGCCTCGTCCTAGCGGCTCCACGCCGCTCGGCGTTCCCGCGCCCGCACCTTCTCTCCAAGCCCAGGCCGCGCCTTCGGGTCCCCGGCAGCGTGCTCCTCCGGTCGTCTGCTCCAGGGGATTGGGGTGGAGAGGAGCGGCCGCCTCTTTGATCCCCACGCCGGCGCGCAGCCCAGATTCCTGGACGAGAAGGCCCGCAGCTTTCCCGGGCTACATACAGACTGGGCTCCAACGGGGTCCCGCGGATCGGGCTGCTGGAGCCGTCTGTGACAAGGGAGAAGCCGAGGGGAACTCAGCCGGAGTCGGGAGCCCTGACTCCGGGTTCCTCCAGGCCGCTCTAGGGCCAGGCGGGGCGCACTCAGAGGCGGACTCGTCTCGCTTGCGAGGGACGCGGAGTCAACGTTCCAGCGCCACCACGGCGGGCGCGGGGACCGAAGCTTGTATTTGTTCGCCGGCCCGGGCCGCCCGCAGACACTTCCCCCTCCCTCCTGGAGTCTGAGGTCCCCAGGAACTAGGGCCAGGGTGGCAGCGGGTGATCTGAGACTGCGCTCCCTCCTACGCTTGTCTTTAGGGCTCGGTTTTCTCTGTGCTAGCGTGGGACGCGGGGTCACCGGCTCAGAGCTCTCCGCGCGCGACTTATTAGGGAACCAGTGCAGACGGCTGCCGGGTCTTCCCGAGAACTCGGATGGTCCCAATGAGAAGGTGATGTGGGGGGCTGATGGAGGGAGGAGGGCCGGAGTGCGGTGCAGAGATGGAGAGCCGCGTGTCCTCGCGCGCGAAGTGGGGTGTGCCGTCGGCTTGGAGGAAGTCGGTCTCCAGGCGCTTTCTGACCAGCAGGGGCGCGGGAATCTCCCCGAGGACTCTCTGGCCTTCCCAACCTGCAACGTGGGAAACTAGGGCTGTGGGCGTGGCCTCGAGGACAGTCACAGAAAAGTCTGGAAGCGACCCCTTGGCCCTCCTCCGTTTCTGCTGGCTGGGTGGAGCTTTCTACCCTCGGTCCTTCCCCTCCTCCCCTATGTCAGCGCGCCGCACCTTCCTTGCTCTCCCTGCGCCTAACTTTATTGGTCTCAGACTCCCAGCCAGGCCTCCTACATACATCGGGGCACGGAGGTAAAAAGATACAGGGCGCGCTCCCTGCAGTTTCTGCTTCCTTATGGAGATCGGGCTAGCGGGACGCAGGCCTTTCTCCAGAGGCGGGGATGTCAGAGGAGGGGGCTGTACTGTAGTTGTCTTCCAACGCATCAGCATTGGGACTTCCTTCGGGAGCCACCGTGAGCTCAGGAACCGGGGGGTTTGCCTCTCCTGGTGGCCTTTGGCACCGTCCTCTCAGGCCTTAGGCAGTGGGGTCTTATCAGTCCTTGGCGAGGTGTCCTCGGCGAGGTGTCCTCAAGTCCTAGTTGTGACTTTTAAACCCCGTGGGCTTTGGCTCCTGACCCTGCCCACCCCCACACGTCATCACCTAGGCATCTGCAGAATGCTGGGATCCCATCAGCAAGCGGGGCATGGTGGCACACGCCTGTGACCCCAGCTTTCTGGGGGCCAAGGGAGAAGGATTGCGGCGGATTTCAGCCCAGCCTGAAAAATGCTGCAATGCTTCCCCGCGCGGGCCTGTTAGCATTGTGTTGCTCCCTGTGCTCAAGGATCTTGGGGGTGGAGGGGCTTTAGGGTACATGGAGTGGAGTGGGGACTGGAGGGTGGGAGGGAGCCAGACCCCGTTTTGCCCTGTGACCCCCAAGGTGAGGCTAGTGGGCAGAAGGCAGAGGGCACCAGTGGTGATGGCTGCCCTGCCCACACTGATCCCTCTTAGGCTGGGGGTTGGAGGGCCGGGGCCAGGCTGCCGCTGAGAGGGCAGGCAGGACGTGCTGGTGTCTTCCCAGCCCAACCCCCAGGAGAGGAAGATGCCTCCTTCCGATTCTCTGCCACGAAAGCCACTCTTGGTTAGTTCTGGCTTCTTCCCTGAGGAATCCATCCTTCTTTACCATTGTAGGACACAAGACATATTCAGAAATAAAAAGACCTGGAAAACGGCAAAAGGGGAGGGGGGCCCTAAAAATCAACTTAGGCTACTCTAACCACGTGTCAACTCCTGGCTCCCAAACGCTGTGTCCTGAGACATTGGGAGGTCAACCATGGGTTCACTCTTGGGGAGCCCTGTGGGCACCTGTTGTTTATCTAGGCAATAGGAAAGGCTTCAGGAGGGAAGGGATGTCAGGAGCGGGGATGGAGATAGGTGGGCTTCCTGAGGCTTGGGGGGCAGACATGTGAAGCTCAGGGGATGGCATCTGAGGCTCGGGGGACAGACTTCCCCACCATGTCCTGAGAAGGCGTCCCTGTACTTATTATTTGCCTTTGTTCCGCTAATCTAGGTTGGAACAGTTGCACAGGAGAGCCTGAACCACAGTCTGTTCCCATTCCCAAAGCTCCTCTTGCTAGGCAGATCTGTTCTGGATCCCTGCAACCTGTTCTCGGATTTTGGCTCGGGCCCCTTACCTACCTCCCTTCTAGTTGCAAGAATCACAGGGGTATAGCAGATTCAGGAGGTGGGGGGGGAGGGAGACAGTCGCTTGCCATTCCCCGTGACAACAAGCTCAGCAGAAAGAATCCTCAGTTACTCATCTGAGCTTGTCTGGCTTCCAGCCCGATGTATCCCTGTGGCGTGTGCCAGCCTCGCCTCCTCCAGGCCCGCGGACACCTCTCAGGGAGCCTTAGTCAGCGCCGTGTGCTCTGGCTGATGAGTCAGTCAATGGTCAGGAGGTTCCGGTGAATGGTAAGGGCAGCTTCGAAACATGGAGTGTCCCCAGCCTGCGTGATGGGGGCTAAGTCGAGGCCAGCAGCAAACACGGCCTGGGTAGCCACCGTTCCGGGGCTCACCAGCAGATCCACCCACATTGCCATCTGGATGAAGGCGACTTTACCTTCCCCGAGCTTCCAAGTTGAAGAGACCAACAACTTCATGTCTGTATCACTGCAGGGTGCTGGTGGCTGCTCCCGCCCCCTCGGTGAGTCCCATCTTTGGGGACTAGACCTTGGTGAGTCCCATCTTTGGGGACTAGACCTTGGTGAGTCCCATCTTTGGGGACTAGACCTTGGTGAGTCCCATCTTTGAGGACTAGACCTTGCCAAGCGCCAGAGCACTTCAACTGTGTGGAGGCCTGAGCAGGCATTTAAAGGGTATTCCTTGTGTGTCTTCTGTAACAGCATGCATATTCATTCATTCATTCATTTGTTCATTTGTCCATTCATTCATCCACCCATCTCTGTCGTGTGTCACCGTGTCTGGCCCTGTGATGAGGCTAGGCTTGACACTGAGGGAAACATGGATTGTGCCTTCCGAGGACCCTAGCTATTGCTTGAGCCGAGGACAAGGGATCTTGAAGAGGCCCTGCAGCCCTACCTGGGAGCAAAGCTCACGGAACTAGGGGTGGGGGGAGCCTTGTAATTAATGGTGGGTGCTTCAGCAAAGTCTGGAGCCCAGTCCTGAAATAGTCACCCTTGATCCTGAGGGCTGGGGCTTAGAGCTCCGGGGAGGGCCGGCACCATCATGCCTGTCATCTCGACCGAGGGAGCAATACTGAGATGGATATTGGAGAATGGAAGTTCACTGAATGCAGGGATGCAGGGATCCCCGTGAATGGTAAAGGAGGGGAAAGCAGGGTGAGATCTTCAGGCTTTGCTACAGAGAAGAAACTCAAACCCTTCCTCACTACTACTCCCCCCTACAGGGTCTCATGTAGCCCTGATTAGCCTTGAACTTGCTATATAACTGAGGATGCCTTTGACTTCTGATCCTTCTCTTTCTATGTCCTGAGAGCTGGGACTATGGGAAGTCGGGGTTATGAGATCTGGGACTATGGGCAGGCCTGGATTGTGGGAGCTGGGACTATGGGCAGGCCTAGATAATGGGTTCTGGAACTGTGGGCAGGCCTGGATTATGGGTGCTGAACCCAGAGCACTGTGCATTCTGGGTAAACACTCCACTGACTAAGATACACCCCAACTCTACAGGTTCTTCCTGGAGGAAGGCCCAGGTGATGAGCCTCTATGTCCACAGAGAGACCACTGAGGCATGGGAAGTAGAGACAGGAAGTAGGAGAGCCTGAGTTCTGCACCAAAGGACTGAGGAAGAGGCTCTGCCTCTATCTGAACAGAGGGACAACCTGAGAACTCCCTTCTCCCAAACTCAGAAGTCAGCAGTCCCTCCTCAGGCCCCTGGGCATGGGGTTCATGGTGTAGGAGTCTGGAGAATCTGGAGGGAGGGGCTGCCCCTCACACTCACTCTCCAGCAGGAGCTTGGATGGGTGCACACAAGCATATGTGTCTGCCTGCAGTGTCCATTAGGGTGACTATTGCTGTTCTGGGGTTGGGCGGGTGCCCAGGACAACAGACAGTGTCAGGCTGAGTCTCAGCTCATTTTCCCCAGCTCTGTGTCCCTATGAGCTGAAGTACAGGTGACCTTGGGCAGGGGGTGGGGCAAAAGGCACATGGAGTTTCAGCAGCATAATTAACATCACCAGAGGTGAATGAGGGTTAATGAGGGAAAAGGAAATTCCCATGCGATTCCTAAACAACCAGGAGGAGGGGAGGGGAAGGGAAGAGAGAGGATGAGGAAGAAGAAGAGGAGGGGAAACGAGAAGGAAGGGGAGGGGAAGAAGGAGAAGAAATCAGATGAGGGGAAACAAGCTCGGTGACTCAATAAACAGTTCAATAAAGGACTATCATGGGAGGGTTAAACCAAGACCGCACCGTCTAGAGGAGCATAACCTTAGAGAGAGTTTCAAGGTTTAATCGGTGTAGGCAACGCAAATGAATGA